TTCGAAGTTGAACTGGGGAAACTGACGAATGGGCGCATCCAGGCTTCTTTCCTCCCAGATCCTCTTCGATTCCTCCATTGGATGATCGTCAACTGCTTCATGCCAAGCTACAGTGGTCATTCGATAATTCGTAAACTTGACCTGTTTATCCTTGTGCAAGCTCAAAGAGGTGTTCCTCTTAACCTCGCATCTCTCATGTGTGTGAACATGGTTGAGGCTGCTCCTAGAGGGGAAAACTGGTACACTGCCTTTCCATATGCCACCTTCTTGACCATCTTTCTTGGAAGGGTTGGGATGGATATGGGGGTTTATGCTAGGGAGGACCATTCCGCCTATTTGCCAGTCTACTGTATCGTCGAAGTGACCAATACTTTTTATGACCTTCGGCATACGGAGCATGAAGAGACCCCTGAGGCATCCTCAAGCAAACGTCCTCTGCTTACATTATAGTCGATTGATGCAGGGCGGGGTGGAGCAGTGCAGGGCGGGGTGGAGCAGTGAAGGGGCCAACATTGGATGTGTTTTGTTAAGGCTTCGTTGTTTTTTTTTTCAGTCTTTTTCTCCAGCACTCAAAACTGTCAGGTACTGAGGGGAGCCAGTACATCATCTGACTAGGAAAGTCTCCCATTTTTTTAATTATCCAGACAAATATTTTTCTATGCATGCAGTATTTTGTGAATTTGCCATGGCTAATTTCCCTAAGACAGGTGACGAGTTGCAGTAATGGTCATCCCTAAGCAAGGAGGTGCAATTGCATCCTACACTTGCTATGATGTGAGAAGCTATTGCAAGGGTGCAAATTTGGTTGCAATTGAAATTGGCCCACGAGTGGGGACTATTGATGAAATTGCAATGTTTTCTCAAAATTATAGAAGTGGAAGTAGGGACTACCTATGAAATTGCAAATGAATTTCATTGGGGGAGATTTTAATCCGCTTTTGTTCTAAGCAGTTCCAATTAGGTTGATTATAATAATTTTTTATCTATGGTGATTTTTTCCCCTTTTTCATCAAGACTCATGCTTCTTTTATCCCCCTGTGGATCTATCATGCTTCGTTTATAGTAAAATATCCTTTTAATTATACACAATAAAGAATCCATTAATTATGTATGCCTTTTTATTGTATTTATTACTACAATGAATTCTCTGACTAAAAGGGGAGTGAAAACATCGTTGGTGGAAATTCAAGGAATGGAATGATAAGGGCTGTGCATAAATTCAATTTCTGTAAATAATTAATTTTATTATTATTAGTTAGTAACGTCATTAGTTTTAGTTAGTGGGTTAGTGGCTCCTACTTTGTAGCTTCAATCTGTTCAAGAGTTGGTACTTAAGCCACTCTCCTCATCAATGTAAATCACTACTTTCAATCCTTTACATGGAAGCCTTTCCATATCCTAGGAACATTAAATTAATTACATAAGAATTTTCTATCTTCCTTGTACTGGGTTTGGTCATTATTTATACTGATTGGGAGCCAATCAGTTTTACCTTTTGGGTTACCTATACATGAATGCAAATTTAATTATACGATTGGGAGCCAATCAGTTTTACCTTTTGGGTTACCTATACATGAATGCAAATTTAATTATACGATTGGGAGCCAATCAGTTTAACTATACATGATCCCAATTAAACCTCTCTACAAGATACAATGGCTTGAAGCCTTGAACAGAAGCAACCTCACTCACAAGTTGGAAGCTGGAATTTTGGTGAAGTCCCTTTGCCATTTCCACGAAAAAACAAACCAAACCAAACCAAATATAGAAAGCATTCACAATACCAAAAACCAAATATAGCAAGCATTCACAATACCAAAAACCAAATATACAAAGCATTCACCAAACCAAAAACCAAATATTAAAACCATTCACCAAACCAAACCAAAAACCAAATATAAAAAGCATTCACCAAACCAAAAACCAAATATAAAAACCAAAAATAATAAGCATTCACCGAACCAAATAAAAAACGGTTGTCCATCATCCTGAGAAAAATATATATAACTGTTGTCCATCATCTTGAAAACTAAAACGCAAAATCAGGTTGTTTTGGGCTCGTTGACTGGGTTTCCTTGTGCTCTTCTCTTTCCTTTTTCCTCTTTTCATGGGTTGACTTGTACTCTTCCACTGCAGCTTCAACTTGAGGTGCAACTCTTCTTGCTTCTGTGAGCACCATATGCCTTATGTAGTTCATGGGCTCTCGAACAAGGTACAAAGCGATCTGCATCCTCCTCACTTGAGTGCATGGCTATCAACATCAACAAACATGGTGCTTACCGCATGATTCAAAAATAACAATCAATTGTGGTTTTCTAATATGCTAATTAGAATTGTCTTTACCCAAATATAAGAGGAGTCCCAGCTTGCGCCAAACATCCACATGCATACCCAGACTCCACTGTCAGACCTACATAAAATAAAAGCATTGCGTGATAAGAACCAAGTTGATAAGTCGTCGTTTAATATCACAAAAAAAATGGGCATACTTACCGATTAAGTTGTTCTTGATCCTTTGAAGGAGTTGGGTACGCAAACTCCGCAATCCTTGGTGGCGACAATCCTTGTTCACGATAGAGAATCTTCCACAAGGCTTGCATAAAGCTCATCTGTACAAATTAAGAAACGTTTGTACTTAGAAAGAGTTATTTACATTTTTTTTGCGTTATAACGGCACAATGTCACAAATTTACCATTGTTTGAACAGATTGCAGTCGAAAGGAATTGCGGTCTTCATTTTGTTGTGGATCCAAGATATGGACTTCTTCCTTGTCCAACTTAATGACAGCCAAGTACCAATGGGCATTATCTCTCATCGGAACACACACCTACATATGCGGAAATTGTCAACACGTATTAAAAAAATAAACTGCAAACCATGTAATACTTATTAAGACGAACAGTTTACCTTGTTCAACATATTGGTTCGGCTAAGGAATTTTGATTGGTATAGGTCTAATGCCATCTTGGGTGCTATTCCACATGAAATCACTAGTTCCTGCCCATGTGGTAGTTGCACAATTGAAATTTTGTCAACACAATATGATTCACGTTAAAAAAACATGTGTTGTAATTTTTTTGGTGAGAGGAAATTGTCATTAAGTATAATCGGACCACAACCTGTAGTTCAGCAGGCAGATAGCACACTCCTTTTCCGTCCTTGGAATTTGTCCACAACTCTTCTAGAGTCAAGTGGCAGGCCATCGCTGTTATAACCTAATATAACATGGACAAAAAACACTTCATGATACTATCGAGTTGTTATAAAATAATTCTACGTAGAAAGCATTGATAGTGGACAAACAAAACAAAATTTTGGAGTTCCGTTGATTACTTCAGCATCTACGAATAAGCGAGGGCTTAAGGACCACAATGACTTCCTCGTACAAGAGTTGTTGGAGGTTTTGACCAATACTTCGTCAGGTGGCAGATGGGCTAAAAATATATAGTGAGCAAGCTGGATTTGCTCATCATCGTATTCCATAGCGGTAGGTAGCTTAAACTTCAAACAACCTGGAATAGGGGCCACAAATAAACACGAGTTGAAATGCATTCGTTATGACGGAATAACGGCAAAGAACACTTCAATGGCAAACATGACACCTTTATTACCTTGTCAACAGAAGGTAGACAAATACTTTTTCCATTTGCCTTCTTTGGTGTGACCTCAGAGTCAGATTCATCGTCCGAAATAAAAACGATGACTGAAGCAGGAGTGGGTGGAGTGCTTACACCTTTGCCTTTGGGTATCCTTGGTTTCTTTGTTGGAGTCACAAATTCGGCTGTCTCCTACAATGACAGTGAACCTGCGATTAATAAATTAACTAGAATGAATTTCAATGGTAAAAAGAGCTATTATACATACCACAAGCTTGGACGAAGAGCGTGTAAGTCTCCTATTTTCCATGTTGTGCCTCTAATCTAAGCTTTACTCTGTACTCAAAATCGCGGCAAAGAAGGATATGGAACCACTGCTCTACCGATGAAGGTTAATTATATATACAAGGTTAGGATAAATTGTGGCGCCATATTTTTCCCGCGGAAAAATAGTTAGGGTTTAGTCTAAGGTACATGAACTTGGGATAAACATGGGTAGTTATTAAACCTAAAATTAAAAAGATACTTTTTTCGATTGAATAAAGAATTGAGTGCTATTAGTAAATATTCGCTCATATTAATATTTGATCCTTCCCCATACACGTAGTAGACACCTAGAGTCAGCTGGCGTTTGGCTTTACTACGAAAGGTTTTTCATTTTAAATATTTTCGTTATTTGTGAAAATGGTAAAGAAATCACTAAGATAAAGAACAGAAAGTGCAACTCGTTCCTACCAAAAATATAAGATATCACAAATCGTGTTATTAATGGGGATAATTATTAAGTGGCCCATTGAATCATTAATTCGGCCATCATTCTCAGTAGGGTTTTGTAATCTACGTCCTTGGTTCCCCAAAATTTCCAGCCGTGACAATGACGTCGGAGGCAGACTCACCATTGACGTCGGAGGGAGTCCTAGTATTGACGTCGGAGGGAGTCCAAGAAAACCCTGGTGCCGGAACCAGTCACACCACCCAGGAAGATAATGTCGCCGATCTCATATTGCTACAGCCTGAAGATATTAAAAAAATGAAGTTCGATGATACAGAAGAAGCCTATGATTTCTACATGGACTACGGGTTAGTCAAAGGCTTCGACATCAGAAAATCAGACATTGGTCGTGATAAGAACAAAGTTATGATATGGCGTGACTATGTATGCTCTGGCGAGGGAAAGAGGCGCATGAAGAGCACAGAACGAAAGAGAGAAGCAAGAGGGGAGACCAGATTTAACTGCAGAGCCAAGATGCGTGTTAAACAACACAATGTCGATGGGAAGTGGTATGTGCACCAGTTTGATGATGTACACACACATGAAACGATCCCCAGAGAATATAGACACTACATGAAAGGGAAACGTCGTATGAGTGATGCAGTGAAAGCAGCGATAAATTTTAGAAGAGCTGCAGGTATGAAAACTTCTCAAATTGTGAATCTGGCCGCATCAGAAGCAGGAGGCTACGACAATTTGGGGTACACGAGGAAGGATGCATATAATTATGTGGACAAAGAGAGGAAAGAACAAATCAATGAAGGTGATGCCGCAACAGCCCTAGCCTACCTGCAAGCTAAATGCAGCGCGGACGAGCATTTCGTTATTGAACTAAAGAAGGATGACGACGACCGGCTTATTAACATTTTCTGGGCCGATAGTATTTCTGTTGCTGATTATGCATGCTTTGGAGAATTACTGTCATTCGATGCTACTTACAAAAGGAACATTTACCATATGCCTCTCGTGATTTTTTCAGGTACTTTTCCTTCACACATAGAATTATCCCGAGCATGCTAAAATAACCCTAGAAGTTTGCATAATCTAACTTTGTTTGAACTTTTTTAGGTGTCAACCACCATTCGCAAACTTGCGTATTTGCATGTGCTTTCTTGGCTAACGAGAGAGAGGACAATTATATTTGGGTGTTGGGAGCTTTGAAGAGAAGGCTAGGCGGTGTAGATCCCAAGACTGTTATTACAGATGGGGATAGAGCAATGCGTAATGCTATTCAGAAAGTATTTCCCGATGCAACACATCGTCTATGTTCCTGGCATATAGACAAGACTATAACCAGAAATGTGAAGAATCATCCTACTTTTTTGCCCCGATGGAAGCATTTTGTGTCAGCTGACTGGGAACCTTCAGAATTCGAAGAAAAGTGGAAAACAGTGGTTGAGGAATGCTCCCTTCAGCACAACAATTGGGTCTCCAATTTATTTGACCAAAGACATGAATGGGGGTATGCATATTTGCGTTCGAAGTTCTTCGCAGGCTTGAGTACAACATCAAGATGTGAAGGACTGAACTCTCAACTTGCCAATTATATCGAGAAGGATAAAAATCTCCTTGAGTTCTTTATTCACTTTGATCGTTGGACTAGGGATAGGAGGGAGAATGAGCGTCATGCTGATTTTGAATCCATTCATCGAGAACGAACCATCGCAAGCAATGTCTTAGTCTCACTTCAGAAGAGTGGAGCGGCGGTTTTCACAAAGAACGCATTCTTCTTATTCAGAGACGAGGTTGAAAAGTCGGCATGTTGCATAAGGTTGGAGATAGAGCGATCGGAAATTGAGCATGTGTACAAGGACAAGGTGTCTGGCATGGCTAAGGTTTTTCAAGTCACGTACGCAGTTGAACCCTTTGCAATGGAATGTAGTTGTAATCACTACAATTATATGGGAATACCATGTCGTCATATGATTTTTGTACTGAAAGAAGAGAGCATACTGGAACTTCCTGAAGGCCTAGTACGTCGAAGATGGTCAAAGAAGCCGAAGACACTAGAGAGCTTGGAGGAACCGGGCAGACTAGATGAATCGCAACTTTTCGCATTGAGGTTTGCCATGACTATCACTTTTAATTTTTTTTTTTTAGTATTGGTTCGAAGCTAGGTGAACATTAATTTTACTCACTTTGTATAAAATCTTGTGTCAATCAGGTATGGTACTATTCAACAACACAGCTTACAACTAATGTTAAAAGGGGCAAAATCTAGTGAGTGCTTCAAGATTGCTCGTGAGGGAATTCAATCATTATGTGAAAAGTTGGACATGGTGGACACTGGCAACGTGGACATACCCGACATTAATAGGCCGAAGGCGAATGAAATTTTGTTGGATCCATTACAAGTCAAAGCTAAAGGTTCGGGGGCTAAAAAATCTAAAAGGAAGAAAGGAGAACCACGACAGTGTAGCAATTGCGGTGAGTTTGGCCACTATAGGACCCGATGCCCACATCCTGTTGGCTATGTGAAGCCAACCTCAAACGGTGATGCCCCGAATGATGGTGTTTCGGAAGAAGGTGGCGGTGGCGATGACACCGATGTTGATCCTCCCACCACTCAAGATCAGTCGGAAACAGTACAGAAGAGAAGGCAAAAGCATTGCAGTAAGTGCGATTCTACCAATCATAATGCAAGAACGTGTAATGGGTCTGGGCCATCCGATGATGAAAATGACGATGATGAAAATGACGATGACGACGATTATGAGCAACCTAGGGTAAGAATAAGATATAATTGTTCGTGTCTACACAATGCAGTTGCACCCAATAATTGTGTACGTCTAAAATCGTCGTTATCGATTTTGCAGAAGAGGCCTGTTACAAGAAGTAGCAAACTAAGGATTGTTGAAAACTTGGAGTGAAGATGGACGTCCTTATCCTATTCGGATTAGGACTAATGGACTATGTGAAGACTGCCAGTATCAGCTTGAAGCGGCGTCGTTTGATTTATAAGAAGACTGTTGCTGTCTGCGGTGTTGTTTTACTTGTGTGTCGTTTTATTTATGTGTCTCTTTGGTCTATAAGAAGACTACTGCCTGCTACGGTGTCGTTTTATTAAGTTCGGATGGATTTGATTGAATTCGATATGGAGGTTGCTCCCTAAATAAATCATGTGCAACATTTCAGTTGAATTATTTTTCTCACTCATTTTTTTTTATTGAATTATTAGATCGGATTTTTTACTTGTTTATAAAATTACTTAATTTTGGCTACTAAAATTATGAAATGTAATTTGGGCGTGAAATGACAAGAGCATGCGCTGACAGAGGACTTCTGAAAATGGAGGCAATAATCAAGAAATAAACTACAGTATTTTTATTGAGTGAAATATCCCTCACCGATATATTATTAAGATCTCAAACACTAAAAGTACAAATCTTGGAAAACAAAACAATGTACTTTCCCTCCTCCCACTTTTATATTATATATATGGCAACTTTCCCCTCTTGTATATATTTTGGGAGCATGATCAACAAGTACGCGTCAATGTCGCCCAGAAGAACCATCATATGACGTAGGGTTCCACAACACCTATTATGGAATCGTAACAACATATGATGATTCTTTGGGCGATATTCAAACGGCGACTTATTGTCATTGCTCCCCTCCCTGCCTCTAACAAAGACCCTGCATGGAGAGAAAAGGAGAAACAATACAACGAAGGATTTAGTTTAACAGTCATGATCTAACAATGACATAATTAAAGGAACTGAGATCTAAAATACGCAGTCTCATCTTTACCACTGCACCCGAAAATAAAGCATGGACAGGAGGACGAAGAGGCGGATGGGGTTGATTTTCGGGGTTGAGAAGATGGGAGAAAGGGGTCTTTTCAGGGATTGAGAGGAGGAACGGACAACAGTAGGAGATGAGTGCCTCTTGGGTTTCGGAGCATGGTCTCTCCCTCTCTGATTAAAGAATTTATAAATGAGCTCATAAATTTACTTTGCCTTTCCAGCCCTTCCCATTTACTGAAAATCACACTCCCTACCGCTGCCTCGGCCTTGGTAACGTCAGCACTGGTTAGGGGCAAATGCGACTTTTCGAAAACGGCGATATCTGATTGGGTGACACGCCGCGGTTAGGATTGAAGCTCTTTCACCATCGGATTAAACGAAAATTTAGGAATTGACGGCGGGAGATGGGGATGTGCTTTTAGACTGGCTTTGTAGATTAACTAACTTTTTCGTTTACCAAAATTAATCTACAGATTTGGTACATGTAATTGTAACCCTAAACCCTAAACCCGAACCAATCAATACCATATACTCTACAACAATAACACCTTAGAGCATCTCCATCCCATTGCTAAACCAACCTTTAGCAATTGGCAAAGTCTAGGTGGCAACTCAATTGGCAATTGCAAGGGATGGAGAGGCAATTGCTTATTTAGAAATTACAAAGAAAACTTAGGGATGTAGGTATATAAAAAGACTGTTGGCACTTGCGGTGTCGTTTAATTTATGCACTCATTAATGGTCACTTGATGGCAATTTTTAAGCACTATAAGTCGTTTGGATGTGGAAATGTAATGCAGTAATTGGACCCAATTACCACATAATGCAGTAATTGGGTTAAAAACCCACGTTTGGGAGAGCCAAAATAGTATGGAAATTGGACCATGGAAATTGGCTTCAATTACCACATTCATGGTAATTGAGAATACTACACCTCCCCCTAGTAATTTGACATTACCACGTTTTCTTACTTCTTTTTCCAAATTCCATACCATCAATTCTCACAAAACTAAACCTTATCCAAACGTGAGTTTTTTTTTTCAATTCCCACAAGTTAATTCCTTGGTTTTGTAAAACATGGAAATTCAGACAAATTTCAACGTTTTAAAATTTCCACATCCAAACGACCCTTTTATAAATCATGTGCAACATTTCAGTTGAATAATCTTGAGAACTAATTTTTTTTATTCAATGATTACATCGTATTTTTTGCACTAATTTTGAGCACTCATTAAATGGGTAGAGCATGTGGCGACAGAGGAGCAGAGTTTGAAATCCGACAAAAATCCGGTTGGCCCAATCGTAAAGACTTCTAAAAATGGAGTCAGTAGTCAACAAATAAAGTACAGTATTTTTATTGGGAGTGTAGGATCCCCTGCAGATTTTAGAAGATCTCAAACGCTAATAGTACAAAGTACAGTATTTTTATTGGGAGTGTAGGATCCCCTGCAGATTTAGAAGATCTCAAACACTTTTGGAAGCCGCCATGGAAGCGAAGAGAGAAGCAGAAGAAAAAATAACAAAACAGTATACAAATATAAACAAATGTTACATAGAGTCCAACAAAAACAAAAAGCTGTACTTTCCCTCCCTATTTTATCCTATTATACGTATGGCAACTTTCCTATCTTGTATACATTTTGGGAGCATGATCAACAAGTACGCGTCAATATGACGCAAAAGAACCACCACATGAAGTAGGGTTCCACAACACCTATTATGGAATCGCAACAACATGTGATGATTCTTTTGGCGATATTCAGACGGCGACTTATTGTCATTGCTCCCCTCCCTGCCTCTAACAAAGACCCTGCATGGAGAGAAAAGGAGAAACAATACAACGAAGGATTTAGTTTAACAGTCATGATCTAACAATGACATAATTAAAGGAAATGAGATCTAAAATAATACGCAGTCTCATCATTACCACTGCACCCGAAAATAAAGCATGGGATAAGAGGACGAAGAGGCGGATGGGGTTGATTTTCGGAGTTTCATATTGAGAAGATGAAAGAAAGGGTTCTTTTCAGGGATTGAGAGGAGGAGGAACGAACAGCAGCAGGAGATGGTTTTCGGAGTTTCATATTGAGAAGATGGAAGAGAGGGTTCTTTTCAGGGATCGGAGCACGGTCTCTCCTTCACTGATTAACGAATTTATAGATTGACTCGTAATTACTTTTACTTTCCCTCCCTTCACATTTGCTGAAAATTACAGTCCCTACCACTGCCTCGGCCTTGGTAACGCCAGCATTGGTTATGGGCAAAAGCGACTTTCCGAATTCGGCAATATCTGATTGGGTGACACGCACGCGACGAGGATCGAAGGTATTTCACCATCGGATTAAGGGAAAAGTTTAGGAATTAACGGTGGGAAATGGGGATGTACTTTTATAAATAGTCTGAATTTGTAGATTAACTAACTTTTTCGTTTACCAACATTACTCTATTGATCTGGTTTATGTTATTCTAACTTGAATCATAACCCTAAACCCTAAACCCTAAACCCTAATACACGAACCAATCAATACCATATACTCTACAACAATAACTACACCTTATAGGCTTATACCGTAACCAATCAATAACATATATACTTTAAACCATCAACACCTTGCTCCTCCCTTATACCATAACCTTCAAGACCTTATACTGTATACCAACAACACCTTCTTCTATCTCCATCCCCAACTTTCAATTTATAATAAGTGTTTCCTTTGAAATATAAAATGGAACCCACCTTGGCAATTACTAGCATAATTTAGGGATGTAGATGAATAGAAATTGTTAAGTGATGAATTGCTAAAATTGATGATGTGGCGGTAGGGACCTCGTTTAGAAATTGTTGTTCAATTTTAGGGATGAAGATTATCAATACACTAACCCAATATCATATACTCTAAACCATCAACACCTTATACAATATCGTATTTTAGGGATGGAGATGATCAATACACTAACCCAATACCATGTACTCTCTAAACCATCAACACCTTATACAATATCGTATACCTATACGCTGATAAATTAAAATTATAACTTGCTTTTCAAAACATAAATTAAAAATTGATACTCACTAAGTATCGAACCACAAACCTCTACTTTATTGACTAAGCAAATAAGAGACAATTAACCAATTAAGCTACATCACATTGATGACCATCTTGCATAATTTCGCTTTCTTATTAAGTGAAGGGTTAAAATGAACGATAAATATATCACAGCGGATTGTTTCAACTTCGGCGGGGACTGAGAGAGTGGAAAAGGGGTAATTATTCTACCAAAAAAGAAAAGAAAAGGGGGAATTAATGAAGAGTTAAATTGGACGGATTGTCTTTACCACGCCACTACAAAATCATTCGGAGCAAAAACACGCAGGTTCAAATCAAACAATAAATGATCAGCATTTATAAGCAGATATAAAGAATTATGTCTAAGTACTGATAAATGTGTCACGCTACAATAATTATGTCTAAGTTTTTTTAGTAATAAGGCATGATCAGCATTTATAAAGCAGATATAAAGAAAATATAAAATCGAGAAAAAAATAGACAACACCTACCCTCACCCTTTAAACCAATCGATAACCATATGCTCTAAACCATCAACACCTTATAACCTACCCATATACCATATACTCTATACCATCAACAACCTAAATACCCTAAGCAGTCAGTACCCATTTCCTTTAACATCAACACCTTATACAACAATCGTATACCTATACGCTGATAAAATTTTACATTTTGAAAATACTTGCCCAACTAAAGTACATAGGTACTTCAAAAGTGAAATTCTAACTTTCGTTTCAAATATAAATTAAAAAAAGTATCCTCACTCAGTATCCAACCACAAGCCTCTAATTAGTGTACAAGAGGTTTGTTATGTACGAGTGCATTGCATAAAGAGGGGAAATCGGTGAGAGAGTGGAATGAGATCTCAATTAATGAAGAGTTAAATTGGGCGGATTGTATTTACCTCGTACCGCTAGAATGTGTAAAGAGACACGCTAGCATTTACCAAATCCCAAAAAAGATGGAACACAGAATTATGTTTAAATTGCGTGAACTCAATGAATGATCAGGATTTTAGAAGCAGAAGCAGATGAAAATAAGTAAAACAAAGAATCGCCACTGAGATAGACAATTATCAAAGGCCCAACCTAATGACAATCCGGAACTCAGTATCTATTATCAACAAACTAGGTGTCATGGGTCATGTACAAGCCCACGTTTGGATGTTATTTAAAAGCCTGCAAAAATCAATGATCAGACCCAGTCCAACTAGAATTAGTCCTAAACGCACCGTTAATACATAAACACAAATTAAGGAGACCTCTCCATCTGATTCGAATCAAATTAGGTCTTCTTCATCTCCTTCCTCAAT